CCCAAGGTTTCAGCTTTCTAGCTTTTCTCGTTCCCGAGTTATCAATTTTCGCGCCAAAACTTTCACTTGCTCGTATGCGGGTCCAGGCCTGCGTGAGAGTTGATACTGCAGTCCTGGGGTGGCACTTGACTGGGGAACACACTGGCAAAATTTCAGCCTCAAAGCTTGCGTGATTGGCAAGTTGAAACACTCGGACAGACGAACACACACACTGACAGGGTCGTTGCAATTGCGTTTTTGCTGTCTGTTGCAGCGCTCTAGCGCCGCATTGCAAAAACGCATAGCAAAACGAAAACGCTGTTGGTGCTTTGAAAGGAGCTAAGGTATCCTTTATTGTATCATGTCTAAACCTAAATCCCGCGAGCGTTGTTCCGTCCGGACGTGTTTGTCGAGATGAGAGTTATAATATTTCCAGAATTTTAGTCAGGAAGGAAATGGAATTATTTTATTATTTTGTTGTAATGTTGGTGTTATGCTCCGTCTGGTTGGCTGCTCAAATGTTGGCACTGTACGGCCTTCAGGTTCGATGTTTTTCGGAACCAGCCAAGGACTGACTACTTTCTGCGAACGAATTCCATTACTTTGCTTGCTGAGTCTAAGATGCTTTCCAGAAAGCGATTAGATGAAGCTCGCGAAGTTGCCAGCTGCAGTCTTAGTGCAGCTGGTAAATTTACGAAGAGTTGATTGCATAATAGTTTCCAGTGGCAGCGAGCTGAGGACGAAGATTATCTTGAATCAGTGGAAGGCGGCCGAGAGTGCTTCTGTGTCTAGTCTAATTGTAATGTATTGAATTACTGAATGAAATAATTTTTTGGAACAGTAGTCGTGCGTTTTCAGGAACTAATGGCTAACATCGGTGAAGTCATTAAAAGTAATCATGGCATAAAAGTGATCCACCATTTGATTCATCCAAGAGATCCACGATTTTTCCCAGCGTCACAGCTTGCTCTGTTCAAGGAAGTCAGTTGTTTTATTCATTTGAACTAATTCCTTTTAACTTTAAAGGAAAAAAAAAGCATTTTCTCGAGCCATTGCGGATACTTGCGCAGGGCCGACGAGAACTAGAAACTCTGCACTGTTTTAGTAGACATCACGAAGTAGAATTGTTATGTACGTCAGTGACATACAATTAAATGCTTCACAGCTGCTGGATGAAGCAAAAAGGCAGGTAACGATTCGAAAGGTCCAGAAATAGTGAGGATGAGAAGTTCAGTTCCCTTCTGGTTCATACGCGTTTATGAAAAAGGGCTTCATTTACGACAGGGGCAGTATTTGGCACAGGATTGTCAAGGAAGTAGAAAAATTTTTTTATCTTCTGAATGGATTGAGCAAAAAATAGTTTTTTGACACTTTTTGGGATGGACATTTCTCCATCAGGCCGTTTTTATCAAAATACCAAGATTTCCTCATGTGGAAGTACTGTTTGGCAAGAAAATTTGACATACTTCGCATATTTAGTATCGAAATTCTTATCTTTCTGCTTCAAAGCTCGATGGACTGTGAAAGTTACTTTACTTGGATGCAGGCATTTTAAATAGTTATTGTTACTCTCAGGGCGATGGAAATCCGTATAGCAAAAAGGACGCAAAG